CAGGAAATATTATCTGGCCAATAATCCTTGTCGTTCTTTAGCCTTTCCATGTTTTCATAATCCTTGGAATAGTCTTGCCCGGATGTCACTGTACTTCTACAGAACAAAATGTTAAAATTGTTATTCTAAGGTTTGATGGAAAGAGGTTTAAATTTTCTGCATCATGCAAACCTAGAAATTTAAGAAAACAAAAAACAAACTTTTTTTTTTCAGTTTATGTGTTTAATTTTGATAAATTAAAAATTTAGTTTTGATTTTTCTTCCCAGGTCTTTTACGGCAGTTGTTGACCAAATCGCCAAGGGAAACGAGGACCCTGGAAATGAAGCACTTGCTGAAATGAATAAATTTATTTTGGAACATTACAGCTATATGCCACAAGTAGGAAATACGGTAAGTTTTGTCTTCAGCAGTCTTGTCCTAACTTTTAACAATTTATAGTTTAATTTACTAAATAAAACCTTCACCACCTGTATTTTATACAGAACCTTAAGAAATAATTCTTATAATTAATGGACTTTTATAATTTAGTGTTTTTTTATTGAAATGAACGAATAGTGAATGTTTGTTTTTTATTACTACATAAATTTACTACTGTATTGGTCAACAGTGAATGTTTGTTTTTATTACTACATAAATTTACTGCTGTATTGGTCAACAGTGACTTTTGAAAGAACTGTGAGTTACATTTCACATGTGATATTCTTTAGATAAACAGTGATTTGCATCTGTAGCATTTCATGTTGTGTTTTACATATGGTGAGGTAGAAAAAAAGATTTGTGCTGTGTAACTGTGTAATCCATCAACTGTACAAGCCAGTCTGTAACAATGAAATCCTTGTCCTCCAGGAAACCTTCAATTACTCTGGATTGATGGGGGTGGGGGGTGAGCATCAATTGGTACAAAATTTGGGGCTAATAGCTCCTCCTTATGGTCATACAGTGAGTAGTATAACTTGATGCCGACAGTTAAAAACACACAGATCTATGCAGCCAGTGATGGTTATTCCTACCCACACTATTACTCTACCACTATCACTGTATGTCTTTTGTAGTGATGAATGTTGGAGAGTGGTGATCTACAAGTTCATTTCCAAGATTGTGTGGCCTACAGTACACATTAGTACAAACAATACTTGGTATAAATTATGTTAACAAGGTGCAGTGGAACGTAGGAGGAACGTGAAAGGTTGTGTGGCCTACAGTACACATTAGTACAAACAATACTTGGTGTAAATTATGTTAACAAGGTGCAGCGGAACGTAAGAGGAACGTGAAAGTTGTGTGGCCTACAGTACACATTAGTACAAACAATACTTGGTGTAAATTATGTTGACAAGGTGCAGTAGAACGTAAGAGGAACGTGAAAGGTTGTGTGGCCTACAGTACACATTAGTACAAACAATACTTGGTGTAAATTATGTTAACAAGGTGCAGTGGAATATAAGAGGAACGTGAAAGATTGTGTTGCCTACAGTACACATTAGTACAAACAATACTTGGAGTTTGAGTTGAATCTTTGTACCTGTGTTTGCCTTATGGTACCAGTATCTTTTTGATGATTGTGTACAGATCTTCTGTTGCTATGGTCTCAACAACTGTAACTTGGGAGTATACCATGGGCCACAAGACTCTGACGTTGTCATGTCTTCAT